CTAGGGGATGACATATAGTCCTCGACGTACGGCCCCAATTGAGAGCAGACTCTCCCGTGGCTGGGAAGTCAGTTGTTAAGTGAGTCTTTTCTGATTCTGTGACCTCATTTTGCCATGGTTAAGCGGCTCATGGCAGTCACTAAGTGAATCATGCGGTTGGTCAGCAAATCTGGCTCCCCTCCCTCCCCCCCAATTGACATTGGGGGGTCAGAAGGCTGCTGAGAAGGTCACAAATGTGACCCTGGATGCTGCAGTTGTTGTAAAGCATCTGAATTTCGATCGTGGGGGGACGTGGTTTAAGTGCGAGGACCAGTTGTAAGTCCCTTACAACTCGGTCATTCGTCACTAAATGAATGGTTGTAAGTCAAGGACTATGTATAAAGCCCAGGAGAACGTAAGGCCCCTATTTTGCCAATCCAGGTAGTCCTTGACTTAAGACCACAATTGAGCCCAAAATTTCTGTTAAAGCGAGACATTTCTTAAAAGTGAGCTTTGCCCCATTTTACGACCTTTCTTGCCTCAGTCGTTAAGCAGTCGATAAGTCAGTAACCCAGTTGTTAAGTGAATCGGGCTTCCCCATCGACTCAAGCTTGTCAGCAGGTCGCAAAAGGGGATCGCGTATGTCCCTGGGACACAGCGACAGTCGTTAAGTATGAAACAGTTGCCAAGCGTCTGACTTTTGATCACACGATCCTGGGGATGCTGCAAAGATAGTAACTTTGAAAGACGGTCGTAAGTCACTTTTTTTCCCAGTGCTGTCGTAACTTGGAACAGTCGCTAAACAAACTGTTATAAGTTGAGGACTACCTATATGGGTGTTTGTTTGTTTTTTAACATCTTAAATTATTTTTCCTTTCCGCAGCTCATTTCCATCACGTCATTGAGCAGCTGCGGTTTCGCCAAGGAAGCAGAGCCAGTATTTTCCTTTCCGCAGGTGGGGCATCCGTCAGTCCTGGCAGGACCGTCACTAAACGGGAGCAAGGCAGGGGAATGTCGGGTTGGAAGCTCCCAATAAAAACATCCCAATCGGGACAAAAATTTTCCAAAGTTGAACGCTGGGAAAAGAGGCTTAAAACCAGACCGTTACGTGTAGGGTTTTTGTCATCATCATTGTTTTGAATTTATGGCTGATATACCATTTGAAGAAAAAACGGTGAATTTGAATTGGCTGTTTCCCCACCACGTGCTTTTATCATGTCCAAGAGCTCTGATGACTCTTTGCAAAGGGACAAACTGATTTACTCCTAATTTAATTTTAATGTAGCTCAGGGTACCGTGGGGTATTAGAGTATCCTAATTTAATTTTTTTTTTGTAACTCAGGGTATTGTGGGAACCTTGCCTTGGTGGGTTGTTTTATACCTTTAGCGCCCGTCCCCCCAAAAAACAGCTCCGTTTGATACCCTTGGCCAAGTGTGTCAATTGTGTAGTGGAGTTGCTCCGTGCATTTACTCGGGAGGCAATGCAAACCCAAAAGACGAAAAAGGGGGTCAGAGAAATGGGGGCATTCTGGGAGTTGAAGTCCAGACATCTTAAAAGTCGGCAAGATTCAGAAAAACTGAATATCTATCATCGCCTGAAGTTGCTCCCGGGGGCGATTACACAGAAGCGTCCCCTTTTTAAATAGGGATTCCCTGCTCCTTCCGTGCAGCCTGCATGCGCACACCGACACACACACACTCACAATCTTTTCCTAACCAGCTGCTCCCTTCCCCTGCAGTGTTCCAGTTCTCCTACACCGCGATCTTCGGAGCCTACACCGCGTTCCTCTTCATCCGAACAGGTTGGTGAAGGGTTGGTTGGGAGCCGGGATTTTTTTCTTCCCAGCGTTCTCTTCCCTCTCGGTTGCTCATTTGCATGCAAGTTTCCTCAACCGTTACCTGCCCATTTCCTCTACTGTTAACCTGCCAGGTGAGTCTCTGGAAAGTCGTCTCACCCCCGCCTCGAAGGGCTGGGCGGTATAGCTGGGAAACGATGGGAGGTTTTGAATCTAAAAACGGAGACGTTGAGCTGTCTTCTCTGCCAACGATCCCTGTTCAAATCCCCGATTCTGAGCTCTTCTCTCTTTCTATCAAGGCTGATCCGGGATTAAGACAAAGTGGGTGGTTTAAGATAGCCCTGTTGTGTTTTAGTGAGCCAATCCTGTTTTTTTTCTCCCCTTTGTAAAAATGAAGAATTCTTTCTCTTACCCGCCTCCCAGCTGTTGTGTCCCGCAAGCGGCCAGCAAAGCTGGCAGCAGATTTGAACAGTGAGAAGGTTGGGGAGGAACGTGGGCCAGTCCTGGAGTCTGGGGAAGGCTCGGACGAGGCCTCTGCGTCGGAGGCAGAGAAGGGGCCAGGGCCATCTGGGAATTCTTTGCTGCCTCCGGAGTCTGACAGCAGCGAGGCAGAAGAACAGCGGAAGCCTGTTCCCAGTGTGTGCATGCGCAGAGCTGCCAGGAGATAGGAACAATTAAGGAAACAGGGTCAACTTGGGAGTAAGGCTTGGAGATGATTGGCCCCTCCCATAAGACATAAAAGAGAAGCGAACGGGTCGTGAGCTTTTGCAGGAAGCAGTTAGTTCATCTGGTCGGTAAAAGCTCTGTTTGACTCTGTGCTAAGTTTGGCTTTGCCCTGCGTGTGTCAATTAGTTCTCTGGCAGCATTCCAAGGGAGATAAGGGGGGTGTTTGTAAACACTCCCCTGAAAGACTGTTTGAGAAGCCTTTCGGACTGGGAAGGACAATAATTCACAGCCGTATGGATTAAAGAAGTTTGCCGGGACTAAGTTTGTGCTGTTTACTTTCTAAGGAAATCTAGATCAGAACACCAGCTAAAATTCTTCATTTGGCTTGACCGAAGGCGTTATCGGTCCACCCGACATTGCTGGGTGGTGGCTTTTCCACCAAGGGAAAGCTCGTTTTTTTTTTTCTGCTCCTCGGAAGGGGTGGGGTTCTTCTTTTCACTGTCGCCCTCTCTCCACGCAGGACACCTCATTGGGCCGGTTCTCTGCCACTCCTTCTGCAACTACGTCGGATTCCCTGCAGTGGGCGCAGCCCTGGAACATTCACAGTGTTTCCTGGTGGTCTTCTTTTACCTACTGGGCGTGGTTCTCTTCTTCCTCCTCCTCCTCCCCATGACGGACCCGGCTTTCTTTGGACACCTGCCCATCTGCTCCCTCTCCAGACTGACCTCTCCCGTGGACGGCCTCACCAGCTCTTCCTGGTGCTCCTGACAGCCCCATGGTGCCTCCGCTATGAACACACCTTCGCCCTCCGCCCCCCCTCTCCGGGCGCTGCGCTCTGTGTCCAAATTGCTTCCCAGACGCTGTTCCGCTCCGCAGCTGGGAAGGGCAGGAGCTCCCCTGTTCCCAGAGGCTCCTCACTTCAACTCCATTTGCCACCAATGGGTAGCCACGCTGGCACTCTCACACACCTCCACCCTGAGCCAACCACCCTTTTTCTAGAGATCCCCGGGCCCTTTTCCTCCAGGCCCTGAAGAGTTCTATTTTTTATGAATAAAGTACTTTAAGGAGGCGTCTTGGTTGGTTGAATGGACTCGGGCAGGGAATCCCCTGTAAGTGAGATCCAAGCGCTGCTGGTCCTTTCGTTCTCTCCCTTGGCCAGATTTCTCATGGGAATCAGGGTTCTGAGGCAGAGGTGGGTTGCTGCCGATTCGGGCGAACTGGTAGTTAAGATTCTGCGTATTCGGCAAAGCAGCAAATCTCACCACTGGCTGACCCCATCCCTGTTCGTTTTTTGGCCTGTTTTCTGGGCTGTTTGGGGCTGTTATTTGGGCAGAAAACAGCCCCAAAAAGGCAGATGTGGGACCCGCCAGTGGTGGGATTAACCTGAACCGGCTGAATCCTATCTCTGCGTTTGAGGTGAGTGGCCGGGAGGCGGGGCTGGGTGTGATGAGTGGCATCACCCACCCAGTCACATGACCAACCAGCCACACCTACCCAGCCAGAGAACCAGTTGTTATTCCAAGTCCCACCACTGCTCTGAGGCCATGAGAAGGACTGCCCACTGGTGGGTCCTGGTAAAGGAGCTCCTTCCTCGGCAGCTGAAGCAAGATTGCCCGGAAAGCAAGATCACTTGAGGGAGAGTAGTCTTAACTCCATCTTTGCTCACTAGTCTTAACTGCTCAAGGAACCAGAGGGGATCCTGTCAAGGCAGAGAATTATCTTTCTCTGCAAGCAGCTGTTAGGCGGGCATCAACCACGGGCTGCAATAGAAGTCAAAAGGGAGCCACAGGATATGTGAGCAGAAGGAAGAGGTCCGGCTTCCAGAATAACTGAGTTGGAAGGGACCTTGTAGGTCATCTAGTCCAAAAAACCCCCACCCAAGGAGGAGACCCTCTACCATTCTAGACAAATGATTGTCCAATCTCTTCTTAAAAGCCTCCAGTGATGGAGCCCCCACAACTTCTGGAGGCAAGTCATTCCACTGGTTAATTGTCCTCACTGTCGGGAAATTCCTCCTTAGTTCTAGATTGCTTCTCTCCTTGATTAGTTTCCATCCATTGTTTCTTGTCCTGCCTTCAGGTGCTTTGGAGAATAGCTTGACCCCCCTCTTCTTTGTGGTAGCCCCTCCAAATACTGGAAGGCTGCCATTATGTCACTCTAGTCCTTCTTTCCACTAGATTATCCATACCCACAGAACGTAGAATAACAGTGTTGGAAGGGACGTTGGAGGTCTTCTAGTCCATCAAACAGGAAACCCTCTGCCATTTCAGAGAAATAGTTGTCCAGTCTCTTCTTAAAAACCTCCAGTGATAGAGGAGCACCCACAACTTCTGGTGGCAAGCCGTTCCACTGATTATTTGTCCCCACTGTCAGGAAATTTCTCCTTAGTTTCAGGTTGCTTCTCACCTTGATTAGTTTCCATAGATGGAATTCCATCCCTTAAGTTTCCATTCTAAGCAACCTTGTGCCAAGCTCACGGCCAGGCCTTTAAGGTTACAGGACCTTTGCGTAGCATCCCACCCCAATTGGCTTACCAAGAAGAAAGACCCCGACCACAGATGGGCCTCCAGAGTGTGGTGTTTATTGGTACAGCATTTGTTCCATGCCGGCCCTGCCCTGCTTCCTTGGGAACCCCTCGGGGCAGCCCCGATGATCATCTGGGCAGCGTCCAGGGCTGCCTTTCAGGACATTGCCTGGGGGCTGAGAAACCCAGAAGGGTCTTGGTGGGGTGGGAGGCAGGGCAGAGCACAGCCTGGGGGGGTGGAGGGCTTGACTAACTCAGGAGCAAAGAAGAGAGACAGCAGCAGGACAGGACAGAGACGGTTTTCTGACCAAGACCACCCCCCTCTTGGTTCCACCAGCTGTGGCTCATAGGTGGAGAGGGAGGTTCTCGTTACCTTTTGCCCAACATTTGGGGGAGGGGGCATGTGGGGAAGGGGCTGTGCCCTGGGCACAGCACTCGAATTGTGTTAGCTCCCCGGAAGGGGGGGGTCATTCTTCTCCCACATGCCTTTTGTGGGGAGGGAATCACAGGTCGCTCTCCCCGTACAAGGCGCTGGAGAAGGAGACATAGTCCAAGGCGCCAGTGACGGCATCGGCTCCGCTGTACTTGGTCATCCTGGTGATGCAGTACTCGGCCTGCTCTGGGGGCAGCTCCCGGCGCAGCTCTTCCACTGTGATGTAGTTCTGCGGAGGACCAAGGAGAGCCCACCCCCACCCCGGTTAGAATGGTTGGTTGGCGTCTCAAAAGGTGCTTTTCCAAAAGGCAACTGGACTTCCTTGGCTGTTTTGTTTCCCCACCTCCTTTGAAAACCTTTCGCTTTTCAGCCAAGAAGCTTCTGTTCAAGCGGAATGGTGGAAGGCAGTGGTGGGATTCTACTGGCTCTACCCGGTTCAGGCGAACCAGTAGTGGTGGCGGGAGGCTCCGCACACCTGCCCGGATGTCATCACGGGCACTCTGTGCATGTGCAGAAGGTTCTGCGCATGTGTAGAGGTGGCGCGCGCAAGTGCTCACATTTGCGAACCGGTAGCAAAGGTAAGTGAATACAACTACTGGTGGAAGGATTTTCATTTCATTCCCTGCCATTCGGCCAGAACTGAAAAAGCTGGTTGGATGAGAAGCGAAAGGTTTTCAAGAAAAAAAGAAAGTCAAATTGCTTTTTGGAAAAGCAGGACAGCCTTTTGGGACAACCAGAACCTGGATGGTTGAAGAATCTCCATAGACATTTATTTGGTAGGAGATGCCAAGGACCGGTCTAGCATCTCTAGTTGGGGGGTGGAGGGGGGGGGAAGGATGCCTGACTGAGCCCTGCCATTGAGGCCAGACCAGACCTCCCCAGATGTTGCTCTCCAGCTACACTGCTGGGAGTGAAGCCCAGAGCATCTTGGAGGGCACCAGGTTGAAGGAGCTTAGCTCTGAAGTGGTATGATGGAGCTTCCTACGAATGCTGGGTTGGGGATTTGTCACAGAGCAAACTCTGTGACAAACAAATCACAGGCTCGGATGGCTTGCTAAGGCCCACCTGCTGGGCTGCTATGGGGTGGGAAGCCTCAGTGGGTGTCCTTTCTGCTGCCAGAAAAAAGGACTGCGATATAGGGAGAGGTCTGTCACGATCAACTCCCTCGTCTCCTGCCCCACTGATGCAGAGCTGGCCCACCGTAAACCATTAATTCAAGAATAATTGGGATTATACAGCAGGTTTGGGAAGGGGGCCTGGCGTTTGGGAGAAAAAGGATTTTTCCCTGCAACGGAAAGAGGGAAGCAGAGATGAAAAAAAACAAAAAACCCAGAACCAACAAGCGGAATCCAGGATGCTAATTCTCTTTGGCTAATCTAGGTTTAATCCCGCTTTGTAAATAAAGAGTCCCTTTCAAAGCTGGTGTGGGCGAGGTGGAATCTCTCTCCTGCTCCCCCCAGCCATCTCCTCCTGACTCACCTTGTCTGAAGCCAGGATCTTGAAGGAGGCAATGACCTGTTCAGCCGTGTCGGTCTCGGCTGTCTCCCGGGTCATGAAGTCGATGAAGGCTTGGAAGGTCACCACTCCCGTGTTGTTGGGATCCACTAGGGTCATGATACGGGCAAACTCCACTTCTCCCTAGGAGCGAGAGGATGGGTGGGTTCTCTTCCCTGGTTCAGACAGATCTGCAGGCTCACCCCCCACCCCCACCCCCCAGAGCGGGACAGCTCCAAGCTACCTGGCAGAGCTTCCCCCAATGTTTCAGACATTGTTCCCATCGTACAGACACAACCGGTAATTTTATTGTCTAAAACCAGCAAGGGAAGCATTTGTCTGAGCAAAGGAACCGGATTGATAGTTTGTTCGTGCAACTTGTTTTATCCAAGAGAGGAAAAATGTTGGAAAAAATGATGGGGAAGGGGACATCAGTCGCTTTCAAAACCCACATCCGTTTTTCGATGTTCATTCTGACATTTTTAAAATTTAAACCACGTTCAACGCATTTACTTCACTTTTTTTTGGGGGGGGGGAGACAGAAAGTGCACCCCAGCACTGAGGGAAATGCAAAATGCCATAGATAACTGAATTCTGTTTTTTCAGTCTAGACATGAAGGCTAAATAATCCCTTTAAGTAATGCTGCCGTGCAGGTGGTTCTCTCCCCTTCTTTGTCCAGCTGCTTATTTCCTGGCAATCTGAGCCTCTCCGGGAAATGAAAAGGGCTGTAAAACCAGCCTTAATCCATTAGAGGAGACCTTCAGGAAACTGGCAAGGGCATTGGCAGGTTATATAGGCCATAAACCAAACCGGTTCTCCAGCTGAGCCAAATCTCCCAAAGGCTTTGATGAGGACAGCTTTGCATCCCTGGGGGAAGGAGTTAAAAGTTTCCCTCACTGCTTGACTCAATCCATATGGGCTTCCTCAGAGGACTGCAAGACCATTTTATCTATCTATCTATCTATCTATCTATCTATCTATCTATCTATCTATCTATCTATCTATCTATCTATCTATCTATCATATCTAATCTATATCTCTATTTCTATCATCTCTCTCATATCTATATCTCTCTCATATCTATCTATCTAATCTATATCTATCTATCTCTATTTCTATCATCTATATATATATATTTATATAGATATCTATATCTAATCTATATCATATCTATCTAATCTATATCTATTTCAATCATATCTATCTCATATCTATCTCATCTATCTACATCTATATCTATCTCTATCATTATCTCTCTCTCTCTATATATATATCTATCATATCTATATATCTATCTCATCTATCTCTATCATTATCTGTATCAATCTATTTCTATCATATCTCTATCATCAATCTATCTATCTATCTATCTATCTATCTATCTATCTATCTATCTATCTTATCTATCTATCTATCTATCTATCTATCTATCTATCTATCTATCTATATCTATCTATCTATCTCTATCATTATTTCTCCCTCTCACTCTCGCTCTCGCTCTCCTATGAGGGGTCCTTGGTGCTTTCTTTATCTTTATCTTTTATTAGATTTGTATACCGCCCTTCTCCTTTCGGACTCAGGGCGGTGAACAGCCAAAATAAAAACATTTGTACACAAAAGTTAAAATAATTTTTAAAAATAATTAAATGAAATTTGGCCCATAATTTAAAACATTTCAATTAAAATCAGTATCAAACTTGCTTGCTTGTTCTCTTGCAGGCGTTTCATTACCCAAACTGGGTAACATCATCAATGCTAGTGTTTAAACCTAAGTTAGCTACGGTAGCACTAACTAGCCCTGATGACGTTACCTAGTTGGGTAATGAAATGTCTTCAAGAAAACAACCAAGCACAGAGAGTGCCAAGGACCTCTCATTTCAACCCTGCCTGAGCTGCAAATATTCTCCTTTATCGATATATACATGCACAAGGTTAACACCTCATGCTCTTAACGCCAGCTACTGTGCGCCCCTCCCCTCCAAGAGATGCAGCAGGTCACACAGAACGCAATCCTCCCAGTCTTGGCTGATTTCCTACCAGGTCGTATCCCATGGAGATCAAGCAGGCCCTGAAGTCGTCGGGGTCCATCAGGCCATTTCGTTTCTGCAATGAGTCAAGTGGGAAAAGGTGAGAAGCGGAGGAGGGGAAGGGGATTCAGAACGTCCCCCAGCAAGTGGCTCAAGTGACAGCCCCAACACCACAAACAGGTATTTTTGTTATTGTTGTGACTCTGACTCCCGAGCCTGTCCTCATGGAGGAAGAGGACTCAGAAGGTGAGGGGGAGGAACTGACAAGGCCTCCCTCTCCAGGACCCTCCTCTCTGGCAATGCCTCAGGTTCCATCCGAAGGCCAGGAGGAACAGCCTGGGATGGGCCAGGAGGAAGGCATTTCGGAGCACCCATTGATAGGGAGCGAGGATGATGAATCCTGGCTTGATCCCAGGCAGCGTCGGAGGGAGAAGCGTGCGCAGCAAAGGAAGAGGCGTGGGAGGGCCAGGGATTGATCTGAGTCACTGAGCCACGCCCCACAAGGGATAAAAGGGGGCGTGATTGCTCGGCAGGCTTTGTGACGGACAAAAGTTTAAACTCTAAAGAGTCACATCGTGAATCCTGCACTTCGGCTCAGGTATATTTTGGACTAAACACTTGTGGATAATTTGTCGCTCTGGAAACGGACTGCAGATAAGGCCTCTCCTGCTTTTTGAGAGTACTAATTGGACTGGGCAGGCGTTTTACAGTTAGCTGCCAAAACTCTCATCTGCCAGGAATTCTGGTCTGTTTATACAATAAATTATTGGCATGCGTGTTTGATATTGCATTTGTCTGTGTGAGGACGGGGGACAGAACAGTTACGAGAGATGCTGGCATAAGAACATTATGCTACCCACCCGGTCGAAATGGTTGAAGGAAGCCCGGAACTCGTTCATCTGTTCTTGGCTGATGCCTTTGGCATCGCGGGTCAGGATCTGGTTCTCGACTTCATTGATGGTGCGGGCAATCGTGGTCAAGAGCTGCTCCCAGCCCACGCGGATGTGCTGCAGTCAAGACAAGGAGGAGGAGAGCGGTAGAGAAGAAGAGGCAGGAATAAGAGAGATTCTTCTTTCTTTTTTTTTTTAACATGCAGACCGGATTGGTTGCATGGTTGAACTTGGCATGTTGGGAGACATGAAAAATGTCTCACTTGATCAGAACTTTGCTTGTGAAAATTTTGGCTGGCCCCAAATCGAGGAATTGCATTGTTGACAAATTTCTCAGGCACAGAAAGGTAATCCTCAATTTATAACCATTCGTTTAGTGACCATCGAAGGTTATACAGTGGCACTGAAAACAATGGCTTACAACTGGTCCTCGGACTTGTGATTCCCCCTCAGTCACATGATCAAAATTTGGGTCCTGTCGCATGATCCCACCATCACTTGGCAATCAGCATGCATTTATCAGAGTTGCAATGTCCCATTTGTAGCCTTCCCAACAAGCAAAGAGCAAGGGGGTTGGACTAGATGACCTCCACAGTCCCTTCCAACTCCGTTACTGATAATGGGGGAAGCTGGATTAGTTTAGTTTAGTTTAGTTTATTTGATTTGTATACCGCCCTACTCCCGAAGGACTCAGGGCGGTGAACAGCCAAACAGTAAAATACATAGATACAATTCACTTAACAACCTCATGATTTCACTGCAAGTGATACGCTTAACCACCCCAGCGAAAAAGGTCGTAAGATGGGGATGCGACTGGCTTAACAACTGCTTCGCTTAGAAATTCCGCTCCCAATGGAGGTCGTAAATCAAGGACTACCAGTATTTCCCACTGCTTTCCTTGCCCTCCTCTGCCCAGGCACTTACTTCCATGGTGTAGTTGGTGTGCTTGTTGTCGAAAACGAGAGCTTCTTGGATGAGCTGGTGGTCACCCTCCAGCTTGTCAATATTCAGTTTGTAATTGATAATATTTTGCTCGTGCTGTTTCAGTTGGTTCATTTGGTCCTCGAGGGGTCCACTTATGTCCACGGAGACATGACCAATTTCCTGAAGGGGTTAAAAAGAGAATTTTGACTTAAGGGTTGAGCACCTGGCATCAAATTCCCCATGGGGCTTTCTTCCCTCAAATATTACGGGGCATCGTTAGTCACCGGAAGCCGGTGAGATTCTGCAAATTGGAAATTTGGATCTAAGAAAAACAATTTAAAAAAAAATTAAAGGACGCGGTGACTCAATGGCTAAGATGCCGAGCTTGTTGATTGAAAGGTCAGCAGTTCAGCGGTTCAAATCCCTAGTGCCGCTTAACGGGGTGAGCTCCCGTGACTTATCCCAGCTTCTGCCAACCTAGCAGTTCGAAAGCACGAAAAAAAATGCAAGTAGAAAAATAGGGACCACCCTTGGTGGGAAGGGAACAGCGTTCAGTGCGCCTTTGGTGTTGAGTCATGCCGGCCACATGACCACAGAGATGTCTTCGGACAGCGTTGGCTCTTCGGCTTTGAAACGGAGATGAGCACCGCCCCCTAGAGTCAGGAACGACTAGGACATATGTGCGAGGGGAACTTTTACCTATACCTTATTTGTCTATTCTGATCCGACTTTAGAGCAGGTTACATTTTTCTTTCGCGTGAATGCTTTAAATGGCCTCTATATTGAAAAGGTACTTGGATTGGTTCTATGACAAATTCGCTGCGGCCAACTCGCCACACCCAACTCACCACAACCCATTCCGATTTAGATTAGGGCAGTGTTTCTCAACTTTGGCAATTTAAAGATGATGCGTGGACTTCAACTCCCAGAATTCCCCAACCAGCAAGCTGGGCCTACATGATAACCAGTCCCCTGCCCCATCCCGCCAGAGGAACAGGAAGCGCAACATTGATGGAAAGGAGAAGGGAGGCCTGACCTCCATCTTGGTCTGGATCCAGGGACCAATGATATTAGCCTGGGCAGCAAATTGACGTCGCAGGCGCTCATTGGCTTGCTGTCTTGCCAGTTCTTCCTGCAAGGTCTGGTCACGATGTGGAACCAGCTGTTTCACCTAAATGGAAGGACAGAAGCAAACTGGTGTTTTAAAATCTCACTGAGATAGAGGACCGGGGGGTGGAATTTGATAAGGGAGAAAAGTAATGCCACCCTCCCCACCCCAAATCTCAGCCCCTTTCTAGTTTGAAATAAAGCAGGGAATGACAACAATGTGGGGTCCTTGCTGCTCTCTGAGCTTGGTTGTTGTCTGCAGACGTTTCATTACCTAACTAGATAACATCATCAGCAGTGGTGGGATTCAAATAACTTAACAACTGGTTCTCTGCCCTAATGACCGGCTGGATGGGCGTGGCCATGGTAGGTGTGGCCAGGGGTGTGTGCCAGGCAGCCCTCGGCCTCCTGCACCCCCATGGGAGCAAAAACGGGTTGCAGGGGGGGCTGCATCCCCCCCTGGGCCCTGTTTTGGGCCTAGAAGGCCTCCCTGCAGCCTCCTGGGAGTAAAAATGGGCTGTGGGGGGGGGCGCACCCCCCTGTGCCCATTTTGAGCCTAGGAGGCCTCCCTGCACTTACCTGGGAGCCAAAATGGGGTGCGTGGGGACTCCTGGAAGGGGCAGGGAGGGGCGTGGGCAGCCAGCAATCTAACTACTGGTTCACTTGAACTGGCCCGAACCGGCTGAATCCCAGCATTGATCAATGTTCATAGAGAGCAAACCTCACTCCCTTCTAAGCACTGATGATGTTACCTAGACAGGCGATGAAATGTCTGCAAGAAAAAAACCACCAAGGACCTCACTGTGCTACAAATATCTTCTACAGGTAGTCCTGTAGGTAGCCCTATAGGTAGAAATTTTGGGTTCCATTGTGGTCCTAGATGGATAAATACCGAACATGGATGGAGGGCAACAATTTTAAGGCCGTGATGGCGAACCTATGGCACACATGACAGAGGTGGCACAAAGAGCATTCTCTGTGGGCACGTGTGCCATCGCCAGCTCATCTTCGTGGGTGCCAGAGCACTCAAAAACGGCCTGAAAATAGCCAAAAATGCCCTAAAAACAGGTTGTTTTTCGCACCATTTTTCAGGTCAAAAATGGCCCTAAAACAGCCTGAAAACAGCCCAAAAAACGGCCTGAAAAACAGCCTGAAAATGGCCCGAAAAACAACCTGAAAACGGCCCAAAAAAACAGCCTGAAAACAGCCCCAAAAAACAGCCTGAAAATGGCTTGAAAAACAGCCTGAAAATGGCCCGAAAAACAACCTGAAAACGGCCCAAAAAAACAGCCTGAAAACGGCCCAAAAAAACAGCCTGAAAATGGCTTGAAAAACAGCCTGAAAACGGCCCGAAAAACAACCTGAAAACAGCCCAAACAACAGCCTGAAAACAGCCTGAAAATGGCCCGAAAAACCTGAAAACGGCCCAAAAAACAACCTGAAAACAGCCCAAAAAAACGGCCTGAAAACAGCCTGAAAACCAGCCTGAAATTGGCCCGAAAAATAGCCTGGTAACAGCCCGAAAGACAACCTGAAAACAGCCCAAAAAAACCGGCCTGAAAACAGCCCGAAATAAAAGATTCCCCTCTGCCAGATTCCCCCATTCTTAATCCTTGTTTGTTTCTTCATTGGTTCTCACCTTGTCCCACTTGTTGGCAATGTCGTGATGGGAAAGGGTGGTGTAGGGGTTCAGGCCCGACAGCTTGATGCCGTAGGTTTGAGCAATCTTTTGGATCTCGTTCTGAATGCCCAGGATGGCCATGCGCTCCTTGTCGGCCTCTGGCAGGGTGGCTTTGAACTGCTCGTGGGCTGTGATCAGGCTCTGAAGAGGAGAAGAAAGAGCTGCGGTCAGTGGAGGCCTAAAAGGGCCTGGAGGAACGTGGGTGGCATTTTAGGAGCCGTGGTGGCGCAGTGGTTAGAATGCAGCATGGCAGGCTGACTCTGCCCACTGCCAGGAGTTCGGTTCTGATGGGGCTGGAGGTTGACTCAGCCTTCTGTCCTTCTGAAATTGGTAAAATGAGGACCCAGATTGTTGAGGGCAATAGGCTGACTCTGTAAGCCGCTTAGATAGGGCTGTAAAAGCACCATGAAGTGGTATATGTAAGTCTAAGTGCCATTGCTACCTCCTTCCTTCCTTCCTCCCTCTCTTCTTCCTTCCTCCCCCCTCCCTCCTTCCCTCCTTCCTTCCTTCCAGCACAGTGGTCAGAATGAAGTATTGCAGGCTAATTCTGCCCACTGTCAGCAGTTTGATCCTGACCAGCTCAAGGTTGACTCAGCCTTTCATCTTTTCAAGGTCGGTAAAATGAGGATCCAGATTGGGGCAATAGGCTAACTCTGTAAACTGTTTAGAGAGGGCTGTAAAGCACTGTAAAGTGGTATATGTCTAAGTGCTATTGCTCCTTCCTTCCTTCCTAGTGGTTAGAATGCAGTATTGCAGGCTAACTCTGCCAAATGCCAGCAGTTCAATCCTGACCAGCTCAAGGTTGACTAAGCCTTCCATCCTTCCGAGATCAGTAAAATTGGGACCCCGATTGTTAGGAGCAAGAGGCTGACTCTGTAAGCCGCTTAGAGAGGGCTGTAAAGCACCATGAAGCAGTATAAGTCTAAGTGCTATTGCTATCCTGAGGCCGACCTGGATCTCCTCGATGCTGTGCACGATGAACATGTCCTGGAGATCCTCAATGGCTCCGTCCATCCAATTGTTGAATGGGGCGGCTCTCTTGGCAAACTCCAGGTACAGCTGATCGATGGTCTCCAGCAGCTTCTCCACCCGCTGGGCAAAAGGGGACAGAACGCCAGATGAAATTCCTGAGAGGGAGACGTCTTTCTGGTCCACACTTTCCCCTTCCCCCACCCCCAAACCCATGAGCCACATCCAAGGAAAGACCTTCAATGTTCCTGCGCCCATTTCTCACCTCCAGGGCATCCCTTCTCTTCTGGGTGAGCGTCCCCAAGGTATCCCATTGGTCACAGATGGCCTGGCAGCGGGAGTTGACGGAGGCTGCATCGTGGTAGTCCAGCTCACTGCAGGGATAAATCAGGAGTTTTTCAGACTCAAATCCTTTTTATTTTTCCAGGACATGAATGCATATGTGGAATGGATCATCTGGACCCTGTTTAGCATCTCACTGATAAGTCCGTCATTAACTGAGGAACCGCTCTTGCCTTTTGGAACATCTGGCTCCCAGGAGGGAGGTTGGCTCCCTTAAGACCTGGCTTTGCCAGTTGGTGTGGGGCTCCAATGGGGGAGTGTCCCACCGGAATAAGAGAGTAACAAAGGTGGAAGGGAACTTGGAGGTCTTCTAGTCCAACTCCCTGCTCAAGCAGGAGACCGTATAGACCATTCTGGACAAATAGTTGTCCAATCCCTTCTTAAAAACCTCCGGTGTTGGGAGGAGCCACAACTTCTGGAAACTATCAGTTGTCCCCACGGATTAAATGTCTCTGGACATTCTGTCATCCATCTCATGGTTGTCTCAAAGGTGCTTTTTTTTCAAGAGGCAACTGGGCTTTCTGTTTTTTTCTTTGAAGACATTTTGCTTCTCATCAAAGAAGCTTCTTCAGCTCTAGAAAAGCACCTTTGCGACTCCTCTGATTAACTGTTCTAACAAGAGGTGGTCGATAGATTAATAAGAGATCCCACCTCCCTCCCTGCTCATCCTATTCACTCCCCATCTTTTAGTTATAGTTGATCACCTGCATTTTTAAAGTGTTTTATTTTTTATTATATACATGTTTTTTGTATTACGAATGAAGGCGAACATATGTATCCCAGGATGATGTTGCAGGATCCAGTTGGGTCGGCCAGAGGTTTTGGCTTCCGAGCTTTTGAACTCAAGCTGGAGCCTGGAGAAGCTCCCTGAAGGTGGGCTCCAGCACGAGTTCGAAAGCTCGGAAGCCAAAACCTTTGGTCCTGGTGACCCGACCCAGATTGGATCCTGGTTTTTGTATTGTTTTATTCTTTTTAACACCGTAAGTCACCAAGAGTCACCTCGTGGGGAGATAAGCGGCAAACAAATGTAAGAAGTAAAATAAAATTAATGAATTAATCTCCGGTGGCCAAAAAAATGAGGCCGACCTAGCAAAAGGATGACCATTTTTTTTTTCTTCAGGTGAATAGCATATGCCAAAAAGGAAGGGGGAAAAGACTAACAAAATTATTATTTCCATTTAATGAATACACGGAACAAGTATGATTATCTTCCAAATTTGCTTGTCAACCCCCCACCCCCGCCCCAACTAGGATGTTTGCTGTCTGAGATACAAATTGAAATTAAGTTCTGGGAGCAAGTTGTTATTCCAGCTTGTTCTTGTACATAAATTCAGCTCCTTTGGAACAAAGCCCAGGGCCTTTTATTATGACCTCAGACTCAACCCAAGCACTGGGAAAGCCAGTTTGGTCTAGTGATTAAGACACCAGGTTAGAAACTAGGAGACCGTGCATCCTTAGGCACGGAAGCCAGCTGGGTGACTTTGGCCCACTACACGCAGTTGTTGTTGTGGGGAAAACAGGAGAAAGAAGGCGTGTTTGCATGTTTGCTGCCTTGAGTTGCTTATGAAAATAATAAATTATTGCCTTATCAATTCTGTGTATACACACACACGCTATCTTACTTGATTTTATCTTATTTGTTCCTACTTTTAATTTGGCATTTCTCAACCTTTAGCAACTTTAAGATGTTGCTTTGTGGGAGTCAAATTCCGTGTATCTTAAAGTTGCCTAAATTGAAGAACATGGTTTTAATCCATCTTAATCAGGTTCACAAATACATATTTTCTTTTTCCTTTTAGTTTGGCCTTTGACCATAAAAACAAACAAACAAACAAAAAAACATACATACATATGTGTATATCTGTGGGGGATGATGTTAGCCTGTCAACTGTCGCAATTTGCTGTCTTGTCCATGACCTTGTGGTCAGCCTGGTTTGTTCCTCATTAATCCTATCTGTTATAGTTTGAGACAGCCCTGCCAGGTTGCTCTGTGTTTGGTCAGGACTGACTATGCCTTCGCAGGCTGAGTCTGCATGCTCAGAGGTGGGGGGAGGGTGCCATTGGTCTCCGTTCCCTCATGGAAAGCTGTCTCTGCTCATCCTGCAGGGTCTTTCCTGGTGTCTCAAAGCCTGGTAGGCCGGTGGCCATTGATTAATGGCATATAAAGGCAGAGATCTCTGTAATGGTAGTTTAATACTCTGACGATGTCAGCAGATGGCTGACGAAAGCTTAGTAGAATAAAATTTTAATTATTTTAGTTCCGGAGTTCGCAGAATGTCTGTTTCTTTCTTTACAAATATACCTGGAACTCATATTTTTAGAATAGTTTATAATATGTATATATATATGTATGTATGAATGTATATGTATATACATTTTTATGTGTATATAGATTATAGACATAATGTATATCAAGCAGGGGGTTGGACCAGAATATCTCCAAGGGCCCTTCCAACTGTATTATTCTATATAAGAGCCATGGTGGTGCAGTGGTCAGAATGCACTATTGCAGGCTAACTCACTGCCCATTGCCAGAAGTTCGATCCTGACTGACTCAAGGTTGGCTCATCCTTCCATCCTTCCGAGGTTGGTAAAATGAGGACCCAGATTATTGGGGACAATTTGCTGACTCTGTAAACAGCTTAGAGAGGGCTTTAAAGCACCGTGAAGCGGCATATAAGTCTAAGTACTATTGCTATATGTATATACATTGTTCCTCTCTTTGGTGGCCAGATCGCCAAGTCATTTAGAGGCTTCATGCAATGTTGGGCTTCAGGCTTGGGGCAGCCAGCCTAGTAGGTAGAATTGGGGAGCAGAACTGATGATGCAAAGTGCTTGCGTTTCTCCATAAGGCTGCTGCCAGCTTGACGACACCTACTTGAGCTCCTGAGCGATGGCCGCAATTTGCTCCACGCGGTCCTGATGGGCGGCCAGGTCACTCTCAAAGGCCTCGTGCTTGCGCATCAGTGCCCGGATCTCATAGAGTGTGGCTGATTCGTAGTCCTTCTGGGACAACATCTCTTCCTTCCCTGGGGGGAGAGGAAGCAGAGGGGAGCTAAAGGTCCAGCTATGGGGAGGGGGATGGAGATTGATCGAGAGCATCTCTTTATAAATGGGGCAGAGTACCCTCCCCTCAGTGTGACTGTAGAGTCCCACATCAAACCAGATTATGACCGGCTGTAAACTGAGGGCATATACAGGTCCAGTGTGTCTGATTTTTGAAAATATACATGATGCTGCGCTACAATGATTGGATGGCGTAGACATTGGTATTTGAACACATAACTCCTTTTGACATTTATATTTTATTGTGTTTTGCTCACCTAGGTGAAATGTTAATATATAATGCTAGTCCATGTATCATCATCATCGTTTAATGACCCCATAATCTCTTGCGGGGTGGAGTGTGGACAACTGAATGGAGCTGAGTGTTTGCTGGCCGGATGCCCTTCCTGACGCCAATGAGGAGTTTTTGTTCAGCAAATATATTCTCACTGTAACTGCCTCTACCTAGGATCAAACTCACAGCCTCATGATTGTGAGGAGAGAGCCCCACCTTTAGGCCACCGCACCACTCCAATGCTAGCCCATGTATGTTATGCCTAAATCCGGGGTCTGCAACCTTAAACACTCAAAGAACCATTTGGACCCGTTTCCTACAGAAAAGAAAACACCGGGAGCCACAAAAACCCTTCCTGGGCCTGACTATTTCTCGAGCGGCCACAAAACTAGCATATGTAGTCGAATTAAACGTTCTGTTTTCTTCTGAAACTTTTCTTTTCTTGGATTTATCCATGGTTGGCCTACCAGGGGTTGAAAAGCTCAATAAATCATGTGCCGGCGGGTGTCACACATTGGCGGTTGTGACGCATATTTTGAGTGACAGGGAGCCTCAGCAAAGGGATGAAAGAGCCACGTGCAGCTCCAAAGTCACAGGTTGCTGACCCCTGGCTTAAATAAACAAACAGGAGCAGAGAAGGGGATTCTGTCGGGGTCTCCGCAGATACCTCTGGTCCAATTCTCGTGCAGACTAGCCTTCTGCTTGAACTTCTCAGCCAGGTGGTCCAGACGCTCCAGGCGCCTGATCTCCGTCAGCAGCCATTCTTCGTATCCTTTCTCAACTTGTTCCAGACCTTTCCAGGCATTGGCAATGTCCTGTGGGCACGGGGGCAAGGGGGGGAGAGACAACCTCAGCCAGGTGGGTCCTGGCCACACTTGCTACCGATCAGCCACCTTCAGAAATCCTCCTGCATCCCTTCACACTCCCAATGATGTCTTTTACAAAGCGACACCTGTATATCTCCCATTACATCTGCCTATCCCATCCGGTCAGGCAGGGAAGGTATGCTGCAGACCCCGTCAGTTAAAGAACTCCAATTTGGGGGGGTCCAGGAAATGAGTCTTCTCTGAGCCATTGCCCCTGTCCTGTAAAATATCCCACTCTGCCCCCAGGAAAGACAGGCCTTCCAGAAAAGAATGAAAATATGGCTCTGCAGTCTTGGATGGGGAGCCCAGAGGAGCATGCAGCCCGGGGGCTGGCTAGTGCCCTGAGAACCCTCCCTTCGCCTTTGAATTAATTTTTAAAAAGTGTTTTAAGTACCCTTGCCTGTTTTATTTTATTTTTTTATAACTTTTACATATTGTCTTTATATGTCATAATTTATTGTATACTGTCCAGAGTCCCTCTGTTAAGGGAGATGGGCAGTTTAAAAATGTGATTGATCAATGTCACCTCGGAGTGACCTGATTGTAGTCTTCCAATATTTGAGGGGCCACCACAAATAAGAGAGAGGGGGTCAAGCTATTTTCCAAACCTGCAGGCAGGACAAGAAGCAATGGATGGAAATAATCAAGGAGAGAAGCAACTTGGAACTAAGGAGAAACTTCAAAACAATGAGGACAATTAACCAGTGGAACAACTTGCCACCAGAAGATGTGAGTGCTCCAACACTGGAAGTTTTTAGATGAGATTGGACTGCCATTTTGTCTGAAACGTTATAGGGTTTCCTGACTGAGAAGGTTGGACTAGAAGACCTCCAAGGTTCCTTCCAACTCTGTTATTCAGTTAATTAAACAAATTTTTGGAAAACTAAGTCACCAGAGACTTAGAGTTTAGATCCAAAGAGGAGCAGCAGGTCATAAGGAGGTCTCATACCCTCCTCTTAATCTCTGTTGAATAAACACTTTAAAACATTTTTGGGCTACAAGAAGAGAAGCTAGTCTTAATTCCTGTTCTTTTGAAGGCAGTAATTTATTTTCTTTTCAGTGAGTGAACCGAGAGCAAGTAAGCAATTGATTAAAATTTGGAACAGCTTTCTCGGCTCTCTGCCTAACAAATGGGTGAGGGAAGGACTTTATTTTTCATGTATGTTTATCATTTTGCTAACATTTATCTTTTTTTAAAATGTTGACTAAAGATATGATTTGAAAGGGTATTTTTAGTTGTTTAGTAGATGGCAATCTGTCTTCATTTCTATTTTTTTTATAAGGTTCATATGCCGCTCAGTAAGATAACATTATGGATTCAGCTCAAGATCATGAGAACAAGGTAAATTCAAAGAGAGAAGTAATCCATTAATTTTTTTAAAATGTACAACAAGAAACGAATCCTTAGCAACTCAGTGCCAAAAATAGAGATTTTTTAAACCACAAAGCCTCTGTTACTTAGAAGGTCAGGGTGAACAAATCTTGACTTAATGACAAAAGAGTGTAAGGATAATGACAAGCAAATCTCTCTGAGAAAATGCTTTTAATGAGCTGTTTTAATGAAGTGTGTTAATAGCAGCAAGTTCTCTGGCATCAGTTAATAAACCTGCAAGGCCAATTCTGGGGAAAAAAACAAAGCTGCAGTGTTGAAAGTGTTTTTATAGATGTTACATTTGAGAATTCTCTATTGAGGATAGTTTTTCAAAAATCAAGGAATTTTTGCTTGTGTGCAAAAGGTCAAATTACCATGTAAGCTTCATGTTTGTTGTTTTTTATCATTTCCCTTCCTTTTCTGGCCTGTAAAAAATCTGCTAAACAGGCCTTTTTGGATGTAAGGGGTAGACCTATATTTATGAAATACTTTCTTTTCTCAGAAAGTGGCATGGCCTTAAGCCTGATTAGCTTTTCAACAACACTTGGAAACCTTTAAAGCAAGGTTACCTAATCTGGGCAACTTTAAGACCCATGGACGTCAACTCCCAGAATTCTGAGAATTGAAGTCCACAAGTCTTAAAGTTCCCAAGGTTGAGAAGCCCTGTTTTAACATTTTAATTGTCTAATTTAATTAAAAATAGGATGTATTCCACTAGATAGGGATGTCTTCAAGGGATATCACCCACAGACTTATCTTGAAATAGAAACCAACAAAAAGAAAGGAAGGAAGGAAGGAAGGAAGGAAGGAAGGAACTCCTTCAGACATTTTCACAGGCACGACGAAACAGCGGAAGTGCAGGATGGATGCTCGGGACAGATGTTTTTGGGGAAAACCTGTGGCCTCAAATGTGAACCCCAGCCCCCCCGCCCCCCCGTAGCTTGTAGGGCTCCCAATATTTCTGCTCCTTGACTTACAGAGACCATCTTCCCCTCGGAGGGCATGAAGGCTGGACGGTTGCTGAGGCGCAGCTTGGTTTGCAAGGTGTTGAAGTTGATCTCCAGCTGGCATTTCTCCTGGACGCGGGGAGGTTTGTGCACGCGGCGGTAGTCCCGGAAGTCCTCCAGCTTGCGTTGCATGGCGGCCATGTTCTTCTCCGGCACCCGGTTCTCCAGCCATGGGATGGTGCGGCGGATCCATTCCAGCAGCTGCCCAGGAGAAAGAGGATTGGTCATATCCGGGGGCTTCAGGAACCACCGTTAGCTCAAACTTCCTTTTGGGACATCTCTCTCTTTCTAGCCATCTTCTTCTTCTTCTTCTCTCTCTCTCTCTCTCTCTCTCTTTATCTATCTCTCTATCTGTCTGTCTATCTATCTCTATCTACTGTGTTTCCCCAAAAATAAGACCGTGTCTTATATTTTTTTGAACCCCGAAATAAGCGCTTGACCTTATTTTTGGGGAGGTCTTATTATTTTGGGGCACGTGGAACAAGACGGGGCTCCTCTTGCCGTCTTACCTGATTTCCAGCTCTGCGTTTAAATATTTTCGGGGAGGGCTTATTTTCGGGGGATGCTTATTTTAGCGCATGCGCTCAAAAACCCAATTGGGCTTATTATCAGGGGAGGTCTTATTTTCAGGGAAACAGGATATCTATCTATCTATCTATCTATCTATCTATCTATCTATCTATCTATATCATCTCTCTCTCATCTATATCTATCTATCTATCTATCTATCTATCTATCATCTCTCTCATCTATATCTATCTATCTATCTATCTATCTATCATCTCTCATCTATATCTATCTATCATCTCTCTCATCTATATCTATCTATCTATCTATCTATCATCTCTCTCATCTATATCTATCTATCTATCTATCATCTCTCTCTCATCTATATCTATCTATCATCTCTCTCATCTATATCTATCTATCATCTCTCTCTCATCTATATCTATCTATCTATCTATCTATCTATCTATCTATCATCTCTCTCATCTATATCTATCTATCTATCTATCTATCTATCTATCTATCTATCTATCATCTCTCTCTCATCTATATCTATCTATCATCTCTCTCATCTATATCTATCTATCTATGTATCTATCTATCTATCTATCTATCATCTCTCTCATCTATATCTATCTATCTATCTATCATCTCTCTCTCATCTATATCTATCTATCATCTCTCATCTATATCTATCTATCATCTCTCTCTCATCTATATCTATCTATCTATCTATCTATCTATCTATCTATCTATCTATCTATCATCTCTCTCATCTATATCTATCTATCTATCTATCTATCTATCTATCTATCTATCTATCTATCATCTCTCTCTCATCTATATCTATCTATCATCTCTCTCATCTATATCTATCTATCTATCTATCTATCTATCTATCTATCTATCTATCATCTCTCTCATCTATATCTATCTATCTATCTATCTATCATCTCTCTCTCATCTATATCTATCTATCATCTCTCTCATCTATATCTATCTATCATCTCTCTCTCATCTATATCTATCTATCTATCTATCTATCTATCTATCTATCTATCTATCATCTCTCTCATCTATATCTATCTATCTATCTATCTATCTATCTATCTATCTATCTATCTATCATCTCTCTCTCATCTATATCTATCTATCATCTCTCTCTCTATATCTATCTATCTATCTATCTATCTATCTATCTATCTATCTATCTATCTATCTATCTATCTATCATCTCTCTCTCATCTATATCTATCTATCATCTCTCTCTCATCTATATCTATCTATCCATCCATCCATCTAATCTATCTATCTATCATCTATCTCTCTAGCCATCTCACTGTCTCCATCTCTCCCTCCCTCCCTCCCTTTCTTTGTCTCTCTTTGCACCTCACCTTTATTACTTTTACAAATAAGTCAAGGAGATGAACATATCTAACATTATCTCCTATTTTCCCCACAACAACCCTGTGAGGTGGGTTGGGCTGAGAGAGAAGGACTGGCTCAAAGTCACCCAGCTGGCTTCCATTCCTAAGGCAGAACTAGAACTCCTTGTTTCCTGGTGATTGGTCCAAAGTCACCCAACCAGCTTTCGTAGCTAAGGTGAGATTTGAATTCATGGCTTCCTGCCTTTATTTGTTAAAATACATATTTGCACAAGGATGTTACGGTTTTAATCCAAAATCAGAAACCAGTGTTGGGAGAGAAATCAATGTTCAGTCCTGACTTATTTTCAACAATCCTCAAGATTAGTGTTCTTCCTCTTTCCTTTTGCCTTAAGGGAAACCTATCCAATTTGGGGCATTAGTCTGCCTTTGCACCAAGGAAAAGAAATGTTAGGAGCCAATGGGGACCCACATCCTTTGCTGTGTCTATCATCCCTCCCCTCCTATGGACTTGCTATAATGTTTTCAAGCTCTGCTCTAACAGCTTACAACTCTCAGGCCTGTAATATGCAAACCGGAGGAAAAGATTCGATCTGATCTAAAATAAAGGGAAACTCTGACGTTGTGGACCGCGGTTTATTGTTTCGCTCTCCTGCTCGAGCAGGAGGTTGGACTAGAAGACCTCCAAGGTCCCTTCTGTTACTCTGCACTCCTCACCTCCTTTCTAATACCCTCTCCCCAATCAGGATATTAACATATCAGATCCTCCCTCCACCCCCCCCCCGGTTCTTGCTCCCATCCTGGCTATCGGATAGAATTAAATCGCTGCTGCCATCTTGGAAAGAGGAAGAGATGAAGAGGGGAATTAAAATGCGCCTCGTTCTAGAACTTTCCCTGCGGGTAATTTAAGATGCACGTTACCTCACTGGCCAGCTTTTCATACTCCTGCATCAGTTTCTCATTCTCTTGATTGACAGCCAGCACTTTGCAGATCCTATTGGCTGCTGTCTCAGCCTGAAAGCAAAGGGGGGGGGGGGAAGCAAACATGATTTATAACATACCATAAAAAATATTCTCTCTCCCTCTGCCCCCTCCCCCCAGGAGATAGGGAGAAAGGTTTTTCTACTTCCCTTGTATGCCAAACATAAATGCCTCTAGAAAAAATTATCTTTAACTGAAAGATAACAAAGCAAAACGGTTTATGGTATTTTTAAATTAATCCTCATTTGGCAACCTCCTAAATCAGGACTGAATTCTGCAAAAGCCGCAGAAAATGACATCGAGGGAAAGAGTTACAGGTAGTCCTTGACTTACAACAGTTCATTTAGTGACCGTTTGAACTTACAACGGCACTGAAAAAAAGGGACTTATGACCATTTTTGACACTTACGACCGTTGCAGCATCCCTGTAGTCACTCAGATGCTTGGCAACTGACTCATATTTACGACGGTCGCAGTGTCCCAGGGTCAGGCGATCCCCTTTTGTGACCTTCTGACAAGTAAAGTCACCGGAGGAGCCAGATTCACTTAACAAACGTGGCATGAAAAGTGGTAAAAGGGGCAAAACTCACTTTACAAATTTCTCACTTAGCAACATAAATCCTGGGCTCAATTGTGGTCATAAATTGAGGATTACGTGTGTGTGTGTGTGTGTGTTTGTTTTTTTTTCTATCGAGACACCTGGTCTACCCCAATATGGGAAGGAGCATCCTGCGTCCCTTTCGCCTTTCAGCTCCAATCCAGGAGCCCTCAAGCAGTCGCATTCACGACAAACCATTTTATACCAAATTTTATATGTTGCTGATAAAGAAAGCTGATCAAGCTGATGAAGGGAGGAGAACTTGTGGCTCAGAGGTTAATACAACTTCCTAACATGCAGGCAGCCCAAGTTCGAATCCAAGTAAGGGTATGGCTAGCTGATTAGAGCTAAATAGCTTGAAATAGATCTATCCTAGTCTCCCTTTATTTCTTTATCAGCGAAATATAAAATTTTATGTATATGTATATGTATATGTATATGTATATGTATATGTATATGTATATGTATGTATGTGTATATGTATATGTATATGTATATGTATATGTATGTATGTGTATATATATATATATATATATATACACACACACACACACACACAAACACATTAATTTGGCATAAACGTGCTTCCTATAAAGTTAAACGCCTAAGGAAGAAACATGATTTTTACCTGCTCCGCACCAGCAAAAGCATGATAGAAACAAGAAACATATGTCATGATGGCTTTCTCATCTGGTTTGGGGGTGTTGACAATATCTGCAGAGAGGAACCAGCAAAAGAAGCAGATGATGGAAGCGGCACAGGTAGAAGAATTTCCTTTTCAGAAGATTTGCCCCTCAGCCAATCCAGCACTTACTCCGATAAGAATAACAATAGCACTTGGACTTATATACCGCTTCACAGTGTTTCACAGCCCTCTCTAAGCGGTTTACAGAGTCAGCCTCTTTCCTCCAACAATCTGGGTCCTCATTTTACCCACCTCGGAAGGACGGGAGGTTGAGTCGACCCTAAGCCTGATGAGATTTGAACTGCCAAATTGCAGGCAGCCGGCAGGAAGCAGAAGTAGTCTGCAGGACTGCACTCTAACCACTGCACTACCGTGACTCAGGAAGCTTGATAACACTAGAGAGCAAGTGAGCAGGAACGCAGATGTGTTCTCTTCACCTGCTCTCCAGTGAACATGTTCACCTGCCCACAGGAGCACCCCCAACTTACTCTGCTCCAGTCCAATCTAGTGGTGGGATTCAAATTTTTTTACTACCGGTTCTGTGGGTGTGGCTTGGTAGGTGTGGCAGGGGAAGGATACTGCAAAATTCCCATTCCCACCCAACTCTAGGGGAAGAATACTGCAAAATCCCCATTCCCATCCCGCTCCAGGGGAAGGTTACTGCAAAATCCCTATTCCCACCCCACTCCAGGGGAAGGATACTGTAAAATCTCCATTCCCTCCCCACTCCAGGGGAAGGATACTGCAAAATCTCCATTCCCACCCCACTCCAGGGGAAGGATACTGTAAAATCCCCATTCCCACCCCACTCCAGGGAGGAAATCCCCATCAGCTGGGACTCGGGAGGCAGAGAATAGATGGGGGCGGGGCCAGAACTACTCAAAATTTCCGCTACCGGTTCTCCAGAACTGGTATATATCTGAATATCACCTCTAGGTCCAATCCTACGTTTTTAAACCACATTGAGGTTTCTCTTACCTTCCGCATCCAGCATCTTGGGGATATCCAGATATTTCTCGGCCACCTCAAAAGCTGTATTGAGGTTCCCAATGGGATCATCCTAGGGAAGAGATGGACAGAATTATCCTATAGGAGTTTTCAACTGTGAGAAAAGGGAGCTGGCTAGGTTAGAGGGAGGGAGGGAGGGGGGAGGGAACAAGGTGGACATCTCCTAACCAAGGTTGCATGTTCATGGAAAAAAATCACTGGGGAGATAGGAATCTGCCCCATACTAGATTCTGAGCCCGTCTAGCATGGTAGTATCCATCAAGGAAATTGGGGAATTCAAGCAGTTCAAATGCGTATAAAGATTCATTGCAAGCTTAAGCTCTCTACAAGAACCTGAGCTACTAACGGTCAAAGCAAATTGGTGGTAGGTAAGAGTCAAAGGAATTCAAGGTTTGGCTGTGTTTAGATCTCTTGTGGACACTCAGGGACTCGTGACTGATGACGTGTTTCACCCCTCCCTCGGGCTCATTTCCTACAGTATCTCTTCTATCTAGCAGAGGCTCTCCAAAGCTGAAATAGTGAAAGTTCAAACTATGCTGAGTCTTTCAATAGGATGGGCCAAATCCTGAACTTGAGCCAGTCTTCATGCAAAGCTGAATCTTAACTATACCGTTACTTAATCTAGTAATAATCATAATGGAGGCCAGGGGAGTATAGTGCATCTTTATGCTTAAACCACTATGCATGCATTGGTGGAAAGATAAGATGGATGGCAATAGCAGTAGCACTTAAGACTTATATACCACTTCACGGTGCTTTACAGCCCTCTCTAAGTGGTTTATAGAGTCAGCCATTTGCCCCCAACAATCTGGGTCCTCATGTTACCGACCTCGGTAGGATGGAAGGCTGAGACAACCTCAGGATTGAACTGCTGGCAGTGGGCAGAGTTAGCCTGCAATACTGCATTCTACCATTAGGAGGGAGGGAGGGAGGGAGGGAGGGAGGGAGGGAGGAGGGGAGGGAGGAAGGAAGGAAGGAAGGAAGGAAGGAAGGAAGGAAGGAAGGAAGGGCAATAGCATTTAGACTTGAGCGATAAGGATCGAACTGCTGGCAGTGAGCAGAATTAGCCTGCAATGCTGCATTCTAACCACTGGGAAAGGAAAGGAAGAAAGGAAGGGAGGGAGGGAGGGAGGGAGGGAGGGAGGGAGGAAGGAAGGAAGGAAGGAAGGGCAATAGCACTTAGACTTGAGCTGATCAGGATCAAACTGCTGGCAGTGGGCAGAGTTAGTCTGCAATACTGCATTCTAACCACTGTGCCACCACGGCTGATCTGAGTTGCAAAAATCTGCACAAGCCCCTCAACTGTTTCATGTTGTAAGCCCCCCAGAGTCACCTCGAAGTGAGACGGGCAGCAAACAAATCAAGATCAGATCAGATCAATATAGCCTTGCCTTTTTCTTAAAAAATTATGCATTGCTTGGATATAAAGAGAAGCGGGGCTTCAATCACGCAGCCATGGCTGCCATTTTGACTTTTTTTTTATACCCATCCTGGTGGCATGTTGATGGGATGGTTGGGGGGGATGTTAGGAAGAGATGAGGACGAGCCCAGAAGCTGCCTTAAAGCAGAGGAGGGGAAGAAAGAGGCAGCCAGAAGAGTGAGAAGGAAAGAGCCACACTTGGTCTACAAGGAAAGCCCATCACCTTTCTCAGCTTGGCGTAGTCAATGAGGTCGGGACGGTGCCGATGGATCAGGGCGCAGAGTGCCAGGCCATCCTTCCAGCTGATGGAGAGGAACATTGGGAGAGAAGGAAGATTGAGTGAGTGTGAGATGCATTCAACTGAAGCCAGAGACCTCCCTCCCCATACAGATAGTCCTCGACTTACAATCTTTCATTTAGTGACTGTTTGAAGATACAATGGCACTGGAAAAAGGGACTTATGACTGTTATTTTACACGTACAACCGTTGCAGCATGCCTAGGGTCGCATGATCAAAATTTAAGTGCTTGGCTCATATTTGTGACGGTTGCAGTGTCCCGGGATCACGTGATCCCCTTTTGTGACCTTCTAATGAGCAATGTCCATGGGGAAGCAAGATTCACTTAACAACTAGGTTACTAATTTATCAACTGCAGCAATTCGCTCAACAACTTTGGCAAGAAAGGTCATAAAACGGGGCAAAACTCATTTAACAAAGGTCTCGCTTAACAACAGAAAGTTTTGGGCTCCATTGTGGCCGTAAGCCGAGGACTACCCATAGTTTCCATTCCAGATCGGTCACAATAGCTTAACGATTTATTTTGCCACCATTCCTGTAATTTTTTATTGTAGTTTTGCCCTGAAGTCTTTTGCCTTTCTCTAAATTATGGCATTCCACAAAGCTTTTTGATACAGGTAGTTCTCGAGTTATGACTTGAGATGGAGCCTGCCCATCATGGTTGTAGCTTATGACTGCTGTAAAATGGGACAGTCATATGACTGACCTGATTTTTACAAAATCAAGTGGTGTTAAGCGGCAAGACCATCGTAAAATGGGGTGATGTTGGAGAAATGTTTGTATTTCCTATAAAACTTTTCAATAAAAAAAAAAGGGAAAAAAAGTAAAATGGGGTGATGTGATTGTGGGTTGGTGAAAACGGCTGAAAACTGGTCTGGTTGCCAAAAGCTTAAAGTGCAGTGATGTGAACACAGGTGAGATCCGAACCTTGGAACTTCAAATCCAGGTTGTAAATATCACTCACCAACCCCAGGTAGGTCCATCAGAACCTTGGCTGGTCATAAATCAAGGATTATGTGTATATGCTACTGTTTGGGCTACAATGAATAATTCTGCTTAAAGATTGGGTTTGTTCTTAAGAGAGGACGGTGTTCTTGTCAGCCATAAAATTAAATGCGAGCCGGCAGCGTAATGCAGTTGCTAAAATGGCGAATGCTCTCAGGAGCACACAATCATTCCATTCTGCCCTGGAAAGACCTCACTTAAAATACCGTGTCCAATTTTGGAGCTTGCCATTCAAAAAATGACAATGATGAATTGGAGCGAGTTCAGAAGAGAGCTATCCAGAAGATGAAAAGTCCAGAACCCAAGTCCTCTAGGAGGATTAGTTGAAAGACTTTGGACATGTCTGGCCTACGGAGGAGGTGACGAAGGGGAGATATGATAGCAGTCTTCACATAACTGAAAAGCTAGAAGAAGGTATTTATATTACAGTGTTCTCTGTTGCCCTGGAGGGCAGCCGAAACCTCTGGGTTAAAATTACAAAGAGGGAGATTCAACTAAACATCAGGAGGAACTTTGTGATTGCGAGCACTGGGGGAAAAGGTTGCCATGTGATGGGCTAGTGCAGGGGTCTGCAACCTTAAACACTCAAAGAGCCATTTGGACCTGTTTGGAAAAGAAAACACCGGGAGCCACAAAACCCTTCCTGTGCCTGACTATTTCTTGAGCGGCCACAAGACTAGCATATGTAGTTGAATTAAACATTCTGTTTTTTTCTGAAACTTTTCTTTTCTTGGATTTATCCATGGTTGGCCTACCGGGGGTTGAAAAGCTCAATAAATCCTGTCCCGGTGGGTGTCGCACACTGGCAGTTGTGATGCATATTTTGAGTGACAGGGAGTTGTAGCAGAGGGGTGAAAGAGCCACATGTGGCTCCAGAGCAGCAGGTTGCTGACCCCTGAGCTAGTGAATTCCTTAGTTCTTAGTTAGTTCTTAGTTCTAATCAAGGAGCAATCCAACCTTACTTCTAGGTTGGTTCTCTACTAGTTTCGTTTCCATCCGTTGCTTTTTTGTCCTGTCTTCAGGTGTTTTGGGTCAACCTATCCTCTAAAGTGCCTTAAGGCAGGACAAGAAGCAATGGATGGAAACTAATCAAGGAGAAAAACAACCTGGAACTAAGGAGGAATTTCCTGACAGCAAGAACAATTCAACAGTAGAATGGCTTGCCACCAGAGGTTGTGGGAGCTCCAACACTGGAAGTTTTTAAGAAGAGATTGGACAGTCATTTGTCTGAAATGGCATAGGGTTTCCTGCTTGAGCACAGGGTTGGACTAGAAGATCTCCAAGATCCCTTCCAACTCTGCTCCTGTTAATTCAGCAACACTAAGCCTGGATCTTTGGGGTACCTAATGTGGAAGTTCTGCACATTGACGTTCCGGTAGGGAGCCGTCTTCCTTTGGCACCACAGCAGCAGCCCCTCCTTGGCCGAAGTTTCTGGAAGAGAAGGGAAGGAAGACCCCCTCAGGCTTAAGCCAGCCATGACATAAACTCTACATTTCCAACAAGTTTCTCTGCATTTATTATATCAGGAAAGAAGTTTTGAATCAGTTCTATCTTCTCTGACTGGCAGGGTCCCTGAATCTGGAACCTCTTTTGTCTAGTCCTTGTCTTGAGCACAGGAATCTGCCCTCGGCCAAGCACCTTCTTTTTAAACCAAGCCCGAAGTCTCCAAACTTGGCAACTTTAAGACTTGTGGACTTCAACTCCCAGAATTCCTCAGCCAGCTTTGTTGGCTGAGGAATTCTGGGAGTTGAAGTCCACAAGTCTTAGAGTTACCATGTTTGGAGACCCCCTAATCTAAGTTTAGCCCACTTCGACGGTTCTCCATCCGCATTATCTCCTTAAAAACGAACAACCTTCTGCATGCAAACCAGAAGTTCTACTTCTGAGCCAATCTCAGTTCTAAAAGGATTACAGAGTGTGTTCGTTGCTTTGTGATTATTGATTATTTATTTACGCCACCTAAATAACTCATTATTTGAGTTAGGGCAGTTTTATAAATGTTGTCAATAAAAAAAAAGAAGAGAAAGAAACAAGATTGGCCCGTCAAATCCAGCACTGCTTGCTCTGGTTGGCAGTGGCTTGCCGGATCTGTTACTAAAAACCTCCATTCCTTTCCTCTTTTAAGCTGAGGTGCTGGGAATTAGAACTAGGAAAGTTGGGGAATGAACCATGGGTGAGCTTCAAAAATGTTAGCAAGGGGTTCTCTGTCCGGTTGCTGGGTGGGCGTGGCCATGGTGGGTGTGGCTTAGTCGGCCTCCTGCACCATGGCGGGGAGGGCGTTTTTGCCCTCCCCGGGTTCCCGAGGCTTTTCTCACGCCTCCGGGAGGGCGGAGGCCCTCTGGAGACTGGAAACGGGTCCATTTCCGGCCTTCCCGAACTTCCGGTAGACCCATTTTTCGCCCTCCCTGAGCCTCTGAGTGTGCCCTGCACTTACCTGCATCCAAAACGGGACTTCTGGGAGGGGAGGGGTGGGCGGGGCCACCAAGGAGTGGGATTTAGGGGTTCTCCAAACTGCACAGAATCTTAGCTAGAGGTTCTCCCGAACCCCTGCGAACCCCCAGCAGCCCACCCCTAGAATGAACTGAGGAATGGTGCCAACTTTGAAAGCAGATTTCAAGGAAGGGCCTCTTGAGTTTCATGCTTACCTTCCACTGAGATGTCCTGGATAGCGAATCGGAGGATGATTGTCCAGATCATACCCAGAGTCATCTTCAGGTTTCCGTCCACAATTTCTGGAACAGAAGCAGGTAAGGAGCATAAATAGTGATGAACGTAGAAAAGGCAAGCTGAGAGCTGCAGGTATATAATCTTTGCAGCATCCCCATGAACATGTGCTCAAAATGGTTGACAACTGGGTTCATATTTATGACGGCCGCAGTGTCCCCCGGGGTCACACAATCCCCTTTTGTGACCTTCCTGACAAGCAAAGTCAATGGTTGAAGCCAAAATTCACTTAACCACCAGGTTACTAACTTATCAGCTGCAATGATTCACTTCAACAACTGGGACAAGAAAGGTCGTAAAACGGGGCAAAACTCACTTTAACAAATGTCTCACTTAGCAACAGAAACGTTGGGCTCAATTGTGGTCATAAATCGAGGACTACCTGTACTTGCTGTGTGCCAGAAGGAGATATTTCTCACTTCATTTCCAGAGAGTAGAGAAAGAAAATACCCTCCCTTCGTAAAGTTACTTACCCTCAGCTCCAATGGATACCAGTTTGACCCCCTTACTGGAAATGAAGTCCAGAGCCTTGTTGACGTTGGCAATTTTGTGGAAACGCATCTTGCCCTTGTCTGGCTTTGGCAACCGCTCACCTTGTGAAGAAAGAGAGGAACAGTGGAGGTAGAAAGAGAAGGATTGTGATACACATACAAACATACACTATGGCAGCACTTATAGGCACTCCTGATCCAAAACCCAAAACTCCTCAACTTGCACACACTAGTGTGTGTCTGCTTCTTGCATGAGGACTGTAGAGGAGTGTGACTCATAGAACATAGAATAATAGGGTGGGAAGGGACCATGAAGATCTTCTAGACCAGTGATGGTGAACCTTTTAGACAGAGTGCCCAAACTGCACGCACGCACATGCCCAACACACGTACCCGCTGACATGTTCATGCATGCAGACATGCACACGTGCAAGAACATGCACACATGTGCAGCAGAGACCCAATTCCAGCTGGCCGGCGGGAGGTGGGGAGGCATCCCAACACCGGCAGCGTGGCAAGAGGTAAGATCTTTTTCTGTTTCATCGTTTGCAGGGAAACAGAAGCTCACGAAAGAAATGCCATGGAGATCTGACCTGGGTGACGGCGCACGTGCCATCAGAGAGGGCTCTGCGTGCCACCTCTGGCATGCGTGCCATAGGTTCACCATCACGATTCTAGACCAACCCCCTGTTCAAGCATCCTGGACAAATGTTTGTCCAAGCACTTCTTGAAAACCTCCAGTGATGGAGCAACCATAACTTTTGGAGGAAAATCGTTCCACTGGTTAATTGTTCTCACTGTCAGGAAATTTTTTCTTAGTTCTAGGTTACTTCTAAACTTGATTAATTTTCATCTTCTTCTTGTCTTCTTCTTCAGGTTTTTTGGAGAATAGGTTGACCCCCTCTTCTTTGTGGCAGCCCCTCAAATATTGGAAGACTGCTATCTTGTTATTCCTAATACTTCCCTTCTTTGACTAGATATAACTGTTCCCTCAGTCAGTCCTAGGTCAAAATGTAGATCACATCGTGACCGTCTGTAAGCTGACGGCATATATCTGATTTTTTAAAATATAAACGATGCTATGCTTCAATGGTTAGATGGCCTAGAGTTGGTATTTGAATATAGATCTTTTTAATATTTGTGTTTTATTGTGTTCTATTAATCTAGCTGAAATGTTAAAATATATTGCTAGTCTACGTATAAGCTACAACTCTCCTTTAAACTGTAAACTCCTGTTTCCACCACCCTCTGCTGCTTGGGGGCTGCCCCCCACCCCCACCTCCCGACATCAGCATTCTCCTACCTGAAATCACCTCTAATAAGAGCATGAGTTTAAGGCCATTCCGGAAGTCGTCTTCAATATTCTCAATCTGTGTCCCAGCCTTCCGCAAGTGGGAATTGCACCAAGCTGTAAATGTCTGTTGGGTTGGGAGGGATGGGGGGGGGGGAGAAATACAGCAGAAATCAGTATGGAATATTTGGCTGTCACAAGTACCCACTGAATAACTAGTTTCCAGAGAGAGAGAGCAGTTTTGTTAAGTTTACACACAAAAAAAATTCTTAAACATTTATCGCAGCATAAGATTTTGTGGTCTGCAGTTTCATTCATCAAATTCATTTATTTGTTTCTTTGTATCCTATTTTTATTATTATTTTTTTTACAAATAACAAGGCAGCAACTGTAACCAACTCACCTTCCTCCTCCTATTTTCCCCACAACAACAACAACCCTGTGAGATGGGTAGGGCTAAGAGAGAGAGAGAGGCACTGGCCCAAAGTCACCCAGCTGGACTAAACTAGAACTCACCAACTTCTGATGATTGTTTCAGAGTTACCCAGCCAGCTTTCATGTATAGGGTGGAACTAGAATTCACTGTCTCCTGGTGATTGGCTGAAAGTCCCCAGTGGGCTTTCATACCAAAGGCAGGACTAGAACTGGAATTAATTCATCAAATCCATCCATCATTTATATCTATCTATCTATCTATCTATCTATCTATCTATCTATCTTCCATCCATCCATCCATCCATCCATCCATCCATCCATCATCTCTCTCTCTCTCTCTCTCTCTCTCCTTTGGGGGAATGAAACGAACCTCTCAAAGATTGCATTATTTTTGGCAACTGGGCATCTCTTGGGCAAAGGTGTAGTCGCGGGCAAATCCTTTCAACCCAGAAGCATCCTTTGGCTACCCTTTGTAGGTCCTTCTGACACGAATATGCACGGGTGGATGGATCCCACCTATATTTTTTTTGCAAATAAGGCAGCAAACACATCCAATATACCTTCCTCTTCCTATTTTCCCCACAACAACCCTGTGAGGCAATTTGGGCTGCACAGAGAATTAGCAAGAGCAATAGATATTTTCACAGTAGATGCCTACAACAACTCGTGTCCCTGATTGTATACCTGAGAAAGAAAATCAGATATGGACCACTCTCCACCAGGGCACATGTCAACGAAAGCCCCCTTCAGATGCTGCTATGAAAGGAAGCTCTGTTGGGTTGGTGAGATGGGGGAGAAATACAGCAAAAGCCAGTATGGAGTATTTGGCTGTTATTCAGTATCCACTGAAGAACTAGTTTCCAGAGAGATAACAGCTTTGTTAGGTTTACAGACAAAAAAAATCCTTAAAACATTTATCACTACGGGGCTAACGCTAAGGCCAAATCAGCGAATCCGAGGGCCAAAAGGGACATTTCTGCCACTGAGTCCAGCACCTGCTTGGGACAGGAGCCCAAATCAAGAGCCCTCCAACAGGTGGCCGTCTAGTTCCTGAGATGGCTACTCTTAAGGGCACAGGTTAAAGAATGCAACGCAACCGCTGCCTTTATAACATGATCTACTACCGCACAGCTCGGCACAGGCGTTGCAACTGTGAGAGAAGCAGGCAGGATCTGAAAGGTCATGTGCGTTTTGTCATTTCTGTTTATAGTATAAGCACCTGCCACAAGGTACCCGTAACACAACTTGGGGGTGGGGGGGAGAAGCAAGAAGTCAGGCAGCTCCTGATGAGGCTGGATTTTTTTTTTTTTTGTACCTCCATGTACAATTTCGCAATGTACCAAATGTGGGAATGCTGTATGATAACGCAGCACAGTCCACCGAACCTGGCTGACTTTTCATTTTGTGGTGCCGTTTGCCTTTTATTTTAACGGAGAATGTAAGCAGCGTGCAGCAGACTTCTGCAACTCTGCAGGTCTAAAAATAATCCTCACAGCTGTGTACGTACACAGACTGAAAAAATAGCCTGAAAAAAATAGATATCCCTATACAAGGGGTCTGCAACCTTAAACACTCAGCCATTTGGACCCGTTTCCCACAGAAAAGAAAACACCGGGAGCCACAAAAACCCTTCCCGTGCCTGACTATTTCTTGAGCGGCCACAAGACTAGCATATGTAGTTGAATTAAACGTTCTGTTTTTTTCTGAAACTTTTCTTTTCTTGGATTTATCCATGTTGGCCTACTGGGGGTTGAAAAGTTCAATAAATCACGTGTCGGTGGGTGTCGCACGTTGGCGGTTGTGACGCAGATTTTGAGTGACAGGGAGCTGCAGGTTGCCGACCCCTGCCCTATACCTTCGTAGGAGAAAGCGAAGATAAATGGGGAATTAGATTATGGGAGAACTCTCATTAAGTACATTGGAGGATTTGAAATATAGGGAAGAGAGAGCAACACGTCCCATGGACTGTGCGAAGGAACCCACTCTGCATCTGTAGAAGGAAAGACCGCTCGCAGGCTTGAAGTCCTACCCTCTTAACATTTTGAAGTTCTGTTGTCAATCAATGCTGACAATACCAGGTAAGATAGTTTAATAACTGGATGTGATCTAAGAATACTTATGTCAGCACTTCAAGCTACATTTACTCTATGTGACAACTTCCTAAGTACCACATATGCTTCATGAAGACCCAGGTTCCAGGCTCTTTTGGCCACAGAAACTAACTGGGTGACTTTGGGCCAATCACCCTGTTAGATTAACCTACATCTCAGGGTTGTTGTAGGGGGAAAAAAATGAGAGGAAGAAACACTGTTTGCTATTTTGAGCTCCTGATACAAATAAAACCAGCAAATAAACAAAATATTAAATCACAAATGAAGGCAAAAATACATGTCCCAGGATAATGTTGCAGGATCCAATCTGGGTCGGTCCAGAAAGAAATTCCCTGAAGATGGGCTCCAGCACGAGTCCGAAAGCTCAAAAGACAAAACCTCTGGTCCTGGTGACTGACCCAGATTGGATCCTGCAAAGTATTAAATAAACAGTGATGAGAAATATCCTTTTTTTTTTTGAAAACTCAAAGGGGCGATGGATTGAATCAAAGCAAACAATTGTTTTTTAATCAGGGCAACCTGGTCTATCCCAAATATTTATTTATTTTATTTATTTGTCAAGAACGTATAGGTAATATATATAAGTATAAGCATGAATTGAATACATAAAATAGATACAAATAGAGGAAACATTAGGACAGGGACGGTAGGCACGCTGGTGCGCTTAGGCATGCCCCTTACAGACCTCTTAGGAATGGGGTGAGGTCAACAGTAGACAGTCTTAGGTTAAAATTTTGGGGGTTTTGGGATGAAACCAGAGTCAAGTAATGTATTCCAGGCATTGACCACTCTGTTGCTGAAGTCTTATTTTCTGCAATCATGGGCTGGGATGGAGCATACTGCTTCCACTTTCGCCTTTCAGCCCCAATCCAGGAGTCTTCGCAGGCAGTCGCTTTCGCAACAAACTTGTGTGTGTGTGTGTGTGTGTTAAATTTATATTTACCGACAAAGAAATTAAGCGAGACTAGTATAGATCTATTTCAAGCTATTTAGCTCTCGTCTAAAGCAAATAATAGTGAACTGGATGGGAGAGAAGCATTTCAGGTTTTATCTCTTTGAATTTATATTAAAGAGATTATATTTTAAAAAAGAAATCCAGGGAAGTCATGACTTGGAGAAGGGACATGTGAATTTAACAGATAGAGCAGCAACATTGTGGGGCGATCAGCGCCTTGAGCCAATTGGATTTCTTTGTCCTCTCCTGGCCCCCCAGGCCTGGCCAAATTTAGATCTGGCTTAAAGGGCCTGCAATGAAGCCAGCTGCATGTAATTCCCTGAGTCTGCAGAAGATCTTTATGGTTGGCCTCCTGGAGCCAAGGGGATGGGAAGGTGTGGGATACCGGGAGAGCTGAGCCAACTTAAAAGTGGTAAGCTTGTCCGTACTGTAAAGAGGTAGTCCTCAATTTACAACAGTTCATTGAGCAACCATTCAAAGTTACAGCAGCACTGAAAAAAGTGACTTATGACCATTTTTTTCATGCTTGGGGCTGTTTGCAGGATCCCCATGGTCACGGGATCAAAATTCAGACGCTTGGCAAATAATTTGCAAGGGAGCCCAACGTTTCTGTTGTTAAGCAAGATATTTGTTAAGTGAATTTTGCCCTGTTTTATGAACTTTCTCGCCACAGCTGTTAAGTGAATCACTGCGCTTGGTAAGTTAGTAACATGGTTGTTAAGTGAATTTGGCTTCTCCGTTGACCTTTGCTTGTCAGGAAATCGCAAAAGGGGGATCATGTGACTCCAGGACACTGAGACCGTCATAAATATGAGTCGGTCGCCAAGCCACGATCCAGTGACCGTGGGGATGCCGGTATGGTCAAAAGTGTGGAAAAATTGTGATAAGTCGCTTTTTTTCCCAGTACTGTTATGACTTTGAACGATCACTAAATGAACTGTTTTAAACTGAGGACTATCTGTATATCTCTAAGTGGATGAGGGTAAACAGCTTTCCTTTCAATTATTTGGTCTCAAGACAATTTTCTGTAAGAGGTAAATTCTCTTTTTGGCAGATTTCCAAAGATACCATTTCCCCTTCTCTGGCCAAAGGATACAGCTGATCTCAGCTTTAATCTTCTACCATATCCCTTCTGAAATAGCTGAATGAAGAAGCCGGAATGTGCTAATATTCTATTACGAATGAAGGAGGGGAGGAGAGGAGAGGAGAGGAGGAGAGAAGAGGAGACGACCAGTAATGGGTTTCAAATCCCGTCGCTACCGGTTCGCTCGTGGGCATGCACGCTTCTGTGCATGTGCAAAAGCTTCTGTGCATGCGCAGAGATGTCCAGGCAGGTAGGCAGAGCCTCCCACCCCCGCCGCTACTGGTTCACCTGATCCGGGGCAAATCAGTGGCAACCCATCACTGGACAGGACAGGAATAGGATTCAGAATAGAATAGAATCTTGTGAGTTACCAGACAGATGGCTTAGGGAACAAAGCTGTTCCAGAATCTAGGAGTCCTGCTATAAATGCTTAAAAGGGGAGTGACATAAACAGGCCCGGGAGTGGCTGTGTGGGGTCTCTAACAATGCTTCAAGCTCTAAGCACATAGCGCTTATATACGTGTCCCAGGATAACAATGTGA